GATTGTGATTGGAAAATGTTTCCTCCTCCAACTTTTTAAATTGGATAGAATTGAGATTCGTTTGCTTCGAATACGGAGTTCACGTCGGCAGTAGATAATGCGATCAACTCAATACTAAGGTTTTAAGTTGCATTTGAAAAACGTTTACGTAGTTTTTAATAGGGAGTCTCCTTTTATTTTATTCTTATCAATTTGTTCATTGAATGGCTCACTCAATGAAGTAGATCTTTTTTAACATTATACAAATTAATAAACTACCTATACAAATAAATTAAATTGATACTGATGATTTTATACGTGGTAGAGCCATGCTGCGGCTATATTAGTAAGTAGTATAGTTGTAGCACGAATGGGTCGGCTCGACCGGGGAAGGACCACGCTCCCACAGAATACCAGCGTGAAATAGTAGCTTAACGCTACTGTGTTTCGTATGTGGAAAAGTGGCATTCCATCTTAGTTCCCAGAGGTGACAACGCTGTTGAAAATCTGTATTTTGATTCGTACTCGAGGGTAGATGTAGATGTCTATGGATCACAGCAACCACTTACCATCAGGTGGACTGCGTGCACGTTTGTCACCCTATCCAATAAAAAAGTTGAGGTGTCTGTTTGTAATATCAAAATAACAGCTTTTTCGCTAAATTCATATGAACATATATATGGTACTAACAAAAAAAAAAACATTTTAAAAATTTTGCCTGACTGTTGTCTGTATGTTTGTTCCGGCGGGTCACCGAAATGGCTGGATTGATTTTTTCGGGGACTTTCACCGGCACATAACTGATATTAAAAGGAGTAACTTGACTAAATTTATTTTAGGAAAAGAAATAGGGTTCCGCGACAAAACTTAAAACTGTAGACAAACAAAATCCAATTGTAGTAATAAATTCCACGTGGACGAAGTCGCTTGGAGCAGATCGTATTAGGAAATAAATAGTAAAAATAAAGGATCACATTTCTTTTTCATTTATTGTTCATCGGTTGCAAGGCCTTTAGTCAAAAAGAATTTTTTAAATATAGAATAAGGATGACAAACGAACACACATTCCACTTGATGTTAAGTGGATGCTGTGGCCCATAGACATCTACATCTGTTCTCGATTAAGAATCAAATGCAGATGCGTTGCCACCTCTGAGGTCTAAGATGGAATGCTCAATGCCTCGTTTCCAGTAAAAACCGTCTCCGGTTCCCTACACTAACCATACGAAACACATTACAACAAACAATATATTTATGCAGCATGGCTCTCTACCACGTACAAATATAATAATACCAATTTATAATGTCGTTAATACAAATGGATAACACAAATTTTATTTTTTGTTTTATTCTTTCCAATCTTTCACATTTGCAGACATTCACGTGTAACAAAATTCACTTCTATCAGTCATTCGCTAGGCGCTTGTAGAGTTGTCACGTGTTGTGTTGATTTAAAAAAATCTCTTGATAAAAATATGCCGTCGTGTGTACTTAGATATTGCACAAATAATTCAACAAATGTCAGTAAAAACAGAGGAATTACTTTTCATCGGCTAATCTCTCTCTCTCTAGTCGGTCCCTCATGACTGAGAATCGTGATCACCATCACGGAGAGTAAATTTATTGTTTATAATCTCTCTCCACCGGGTCCTATCGCTGGCCATACGGAGAGCGTCGTAGAAATTTCGCGCACCGACTTCTTTGACTTGGTCGGACCACCGGGTTGGAAATCTACCTCTGGGCCTTCTTCCCTCTACGTTTCCAACAACTATCAATTTTTCGATACTTTCGTCCCCGCGGCGAGAGATATGACCAAAATAGCTGAGGATGCGCTGAAGACATGTGGTGGAAAGACGCGTCTTGATCTTGAGTTGCGATAGGATTGACACGTTTGTGCGCTTCGCAGTCCACGGTATTCGCAGCATTCGCCGCCAGCACCACATTTCGAACGCATCAATTCTCTCCCTTCCTCTGACGCGTATAGTCCATGTTTCCACTCCATAGAGAAAAATTGGGAATATAAGAGTATATACTAGGCGTAATTTAGTATTATTTGTTATGCTTCTGTTTCTCCAGATGTTTGTCAGTCTGGTCATCGCATCCTTAGCTATTGCTATTCTACGCTTAATTTCGGGAACGCAAGTACCCTCATTTGAGATCAGAGATCCCAGGTATATATAACTCTCCACAACGTCGATCCCTTGAATGCTGCAAGTGTTGGAAAGTTTGCTAGCCCGGTCTATAACCATGAGTTTCGTTTTATCCCTGTTGATTGACAGACCTAGCTCTTCGCTTTCTAATTCTAGCTTATGCAGCAGCTCCTCCATGATAATTATATAGATTAATATTAAATATATAATTAATAATAATGTTTTATTATTAATCTATATAATATATAGATTAATAATAAAACAAATTATTCCTAAGGCGCCATCATGTGTCATGGAATATAGATTATGAAATTAATATGTTCAGATGCGACATTTCTGTGGGTACTTAAGTATAGGACGAATATATTATTATACACATTTTTTTTGTAGAAACATATATAAGTTATCGTAATTAGGCAAAATTTTTTAGTACATAAGTACATATTACTTCAATGACTTCAAATCAATTTCAAACAATAATAGGGGCAGCATTCCACCGGTGCGGTGGTGAAGTTCCCGCCAAAACACTCATAACGGATCATAATATTATAAATTTAAAACCAGGGATACATCCGGTACTGAACCGATACTGATTTATGGGCGATATTTTGAATTTGCTGAAATCGGAATAGGCGATTTATATTTGATAATACACCGGTACGTTTTAAATTTCATGCTTTGCATGCATTGCATTGCGCAGTTAGTTACACACTATTGTTTAGTTTCGAAAATGAGTTCCTTTACATCCTAGATTGTATTTTTAATCGTAGGCGTTTAAAAATCGCGTTCCAGCGCATAATTTTTTTAGTTAGAACCGTAAAATAACTTAAATTCGGTTTGTAGAAATATCAACAATTTTAGTTAATTTCCGGTACTCTGAATACATTACTTAGTTTAAAGATTGCAAAATACTTCTAAAAAATGAAAAAAGTCACTTACGGCGTCTTTATGATGGTCCTCTTCAGTAGTTTCGATGTCAACACTTTCGTCGCTATCTCGGTCGCTCTTCGACGATCTAGCGGGAGAAGAACGCAGTGGCGATCGGAGCGGGGAGCGGAGCGGGGAGCGGAGCGGAGAGCGACTTTGCCTAGGCGATGAAGTAGCTGTCGAAGACCTATAGGAATCAAATCAATCGGAATAAGAGCATCAACCGTAATACAGGAATTCTTAAAGTGTTTTAGAAATAAATGTATGTCCTACTAGTGGGCACTGGGCACAGCACAGACCTCCTCTTATTTTTAAGAGAGTCTTATATTGATTCACTTTGATCGACTTCACATCTCCTAGAAGTATTTTGATTTCTCACTTCTCGTTGATTGACAAATCACACACGACTTTTAACATACTAATAAAAAATAAATGGCAACTGAATTGCTCCAATGCATATTAACAATAGTATGCCAGCGGTAATCATACCCGGGTTTGTGACGTACCGAGAAATATAAAGTGATAGCTTAGGCCCTCAGCTACAATGGCTCTTAGCTTGACTATATTAAATCAGTGCCTTACTTAAAAACAACATCGTAACCGCAATGATGACGGTGACGGCTCAATGATGCACCATGTCTAATCCCATTCTTTATCCGTACGGACTATAGACGGATTTCTATGCAGAAATGGAGTTCTTTCAACTACTAATAATCTCAAAATTAAAAACTTTCCATAATGTAAAATAGTTTAGACAGGCGTACCTGGTAGGCGATCGCTGCGGTGAGGCGGGTGACAGTTGAGGCGAGTCGAGACGATGGGACCGTACCGGACGGAATGCTCGTGGTTCCTCTAATGAACTTACACCACTCAAAGCCGTCAATGCACCTGTTAGTTAGACATAGAAATTGTCAGTAATATTAAAATACCTAACTAAAGACAAGAAAATAACATCACCAAAGAAATAAATATTTCGGTGCTTTGGACACGTAGAAAAGATTAAGGAGGAAAAAGTGACAAAGCAGCAAAAATTAATAGTAGGTGCAAAAATTAGTAGTAGGTGAGATGCACTAAGAGGAAGTTTATCGATCAAATTGGTGAATCCCACGCGACGCGACAGCTACTGAGAATTAGTTAAAATAATAACCCGATTTTTGCCGACCCGGCATTCGAAACACATTGACTGTACAACATAGGTATAGGGTAGGTAGGTATGATATGGGCCGGTAAATTACCCCTTCATCTAGTAAAATAAGGTTTGCTCATTTTTCCCCTTATGGACCAAAAGAAAATGTCTCCTTGTTATTTCATGTACGTTTTGATATAATATAGTAAAAATACCACGCAAACAACCTATCAAATATAATCATATATTAAAATATTAACATGCGTGCAGCTCACAGGCGACAGGAGTGAAACCTTCGAATGAAATGAAATATAAAATACAAATACCTACTTTAAATGATTTATTTAATATTATCATTTAAACTACAAGTTCGACATAAATATAAGAAAATATCATTTTATAGTAAATAAATGTAACAATCCTTTTAGTATATATATATTAGACACAGATATTATATTACTCTTTTCGATATACCTTATATAGTACTCACTAATTACAAAAAGATTTATATCAATTTTACCTATTACGAAGTTGAGGTTGGCCGTTCTTCACTGCTTGTTTAACTTTAATCCATAGGCACACGACACCTTCGTACCACAGTTCGTACCTTGTTGAACAAAACGCGTAAGCGAAGCCGTTTCAGCGGCGCTTACAACTTTTTTCTCGCGAACATTGAGCTATAATCTACAATACTTCCTATCTCATTTTCTCCCACGTTAAATCTTATGAATTTATGTGTCTGTCTCTTTTTAATGTCGCTTTTTCGTTTCACCCAGTTTCAAATCACAGCGATGCTAAAGAAGTTTTCACTTCAAAAATCAACCAAAAGTCCATCCATTATGATTACCTGGTGTCCATAATGTGGGTTTAAGCCAAGGTATGTAAGGTAATGGGAGTCTCGCCCCCCACACGTAATCCGCCAGCCTCGGGACTGGCGTGTGAGCGCTGGGCGGACTTCCTGCTGACCGCTTCGGTTCCGTTTCGGGTTCTGGCCTGCGAAATGGGACCCTTCTGTGGCACAATTTAAAGCTGAACTTTTTGATGCTATTTTGAATTTACATAACGCTTATTAAACAAATTTTACTTTTGAACTAATGTAAAGAATGAAAAGTAAAAGGTTATTGGTTTCTCGAAAAAGACAAAAGATTAAGATGTCCTTTATTATTTTGATAATGTTATACTTTCTAAGTTTATCTAGATAGGAACCGAGTAAAGCTAGGTCGCCCAGGTACTATTTATTACTTATTAAGTATAACTACTTATTACACGTTACTATAGTGACAGACTTTTTTAATTGGGTAGCTTCAGGTGATAGCATAGCTTTCCTGTGGTAACAGTTGATCTTGATAGGTTTAATATTTTTAAGGGTTAAATTCGCTTAACATACGTATAAAATATTTCTGATTTATTTAAAATAGGTAAAGCCTTACTCATAAAAAATTGAACAGTTAAGATATGCTTAGGTAAAGTTGCTCTCTCCCTTTTCAGTAAATGACAATAGAAAGAGAGAAGTATAGAACTAATACTTAATTTTAATAAGTATGTGAGATAGTCAAAGATTTAAAGTAAGGCCGTGTATTTCTTACCTAGCAGCAGAAAGCATTCGCTTCCTCGTTCCACCGTTGAACATTGCCTTAACGTCTTCCCACGCATGGACTACCTCATCGGGCGGGCTCCCACTGAGCTTCATGTGTCGCCTCCAGGAGTTAAAGTTGGCCGCGTCAGGTTGGACGTATTTGTCCCCAGGGCCAACACGATGTGAGTGAAATATGAACTTGTTGGGGGAGAAGAAAAGGCCACAATAGGCGCATTTGATGCACTTAGCTCGGGATGAGTTGTACCTGGCAGTAGTTGAAAACTCAAGGTCGTATTTCGTTTTTAAATTAAAAGACAATGTTATAATAACCATAAAAGGAATATGTTAACGAAATTAGAAAATACAGTGGCGTTAAAAAGATATCCACCACCTTTTTTTTTAAATAAGGGTGACAAGCGAACACACAGTCCACATGATGGTAAGTGGATATTGTGGTCCATAAACATCAACATTTATCCTCGATTAAGAATCAAAATGCAGATGCGTTGTCACCCCTGAGGATGATAGAATGCCTTTCCAGTAAAAAAGGGTTTCCGAATCTCTACACTCACCATACGAAACACAGCAGTATTAAGTTGCTGTTTTACGCTGTTATTCTGTGAGAACGTGGTCCTTCTCCAGTCGAGACCCATTCGTGCTACAACTATACTACTAATATAACTGCAGCATGGCTCTACCATGTTACTCAATCACACCCAAACGGCTAAAAGGATTTGTAAGAAATTTGGTACACAGACAGGGTAAGGACGTGTAGTGACGGTGTAAGAATATCCCTAATCCCATATCATCCCGTGGGTGTCGTAAGAGGCGACAGAGGGAATAAATCAGGAGATTGGCAGCAACGTCTTCTAATAACGGCTAAAAATTAAAAAATACTGCGGTTGCGAACCCGCTCGCCAAGCATGGCAGCCATCGCAAATATGCCTCCTGTAATACAATCTATGGGGAAGGCCTACGTTCAGCAGTGGACTTCAATAGACTGTAACAGTAACGGTAACACAAATGGACTACGTCTTAGATGAAACTAATGAAGGAAACGAGAAACCATGAAGGTTAGAGAACAGGAGAACGATCGCCGTAGAAAATAGTGTCCCAGAAATATGGACACCATAAGTGAGGCGCTGCGATCGCTAAGTTCGCTCAATAAAAGTCATTTTCAGTCTATTTTTCCGATCAGATGCTAAACGACTACTTGTACATACTTACAAGATCTACTTGTACTCATAAACAGCTAACTTCACAGCCACTACTCACCGACGGCAGCGCCGCTATAAATTCTACAAATTTTCAAAGACAGGCGGGCTACGCTTTAGTACGTAGCCATCGTTCTCCTGTTCTCTAACCTCCATGCAAGTAACGGAGAAAAACTTGAGAGAATAATTTTTACCACGGAAAAATTTAATAAAAAGTTATGACGAGATAAAAACATAAAGACGTTTCTGTTTTCACAAAAGCGGATCAACATTTAATGTAAGGATAATAAATAATAGAAAAAAGAATAAAAGTTAAAACGGAACGTAAGTTAATGTGAAAGATGACGGAAGTATGGTAACAATAAGGATACGAAAGAGTAAGATAAAAATAAATAGTGTAATTGGTGTGCAAGCGAGATAGATTATTGTTAAATATACAAGTAGGTCGAGAGAGAAAATAGATCACTACGTGTATTGGCGACATGTGTTACTATCTTACATAAAGAGCTAGTGTTCAATAAAATTTACGTTACAATGGGCTAACCTGGCTGGAAGGAAGGCACCTCTACATCCCCAAGCGCACTCGTGATGAACTGCAAAAGCAAAGTCGTCAGGCAGTCGCGGTGGTGCGTTGTCTCCGAGGAACGACTTGCACAGACGCTCAGCCTCCCGCCTTGTGATCATGCCTGTTATCGATATTTATAGACAAATAATTATTTTATTTTATGAATAAATGAGAGCCTCTGTTTGTCCTTATGGGCTCCATATACGGAACGACTTTTCGATCAATCTAAAAGGATACCGTGAAGATAGATTGCTCAAAACTTACCTCTCACATACGCAACAGTTGGTCGTTGCGATCGATTTACGAGTAGGTTTCAACGGAACGACAAAAACGTGCTATCAGAGACAGAAATCCGAATTATTAAATGAAACCATTTATTAAAGATTTTATCGCGTTTAATTTAACTTTTTAATTCCCGACGTTTTGGGTGGTTCACAGCACCCATGGTGGTGGTGGGTGAAGTGTTTCATGTCCCTTTGTTATAGTTATCCGATCTAAGCAGAACGAGCTTATAGTACCTGGAAGTCTTGCAGTGGTATGCTTGGGTTTTGATTTTATTTTAATTATTATAGGATCCCAATCAGATATCAGTACCCATCCATTTTCATATTCATATATGATCATTTTCATTATATATATGAACATTTTCATAGACTCAGACTTTCTGGACCGTCGATAGGAAGTCTGCAGTCTGTGAACACGTTCATGATCAACCCCGCCGTTACATTAATTTGATAGTCCACAAATCCTTGCAAAAGAACACCAGGTTGATTCGCGAGGCTATTGAATTAAAAAAAAAACATTCTTATTTTAATAAAGAAGAGGGATGGGTACTACCATCTGCTTTACGAAATTCAAGATTGCCTGGGTTTTTGTTGCGGTCTCCCGTGTCGTCTGTGATCAAATAAACCGATAACGTTCATAACCAACACTATACCGATCCGTCGTTTCGATCAGTCTGAACCGATCGTATCAACGAATAGTATCGTATATGGAGCCCCCTTAACGTAGCACATCCAATTTTCTAGGGCTGGGCGTTTTTCTTCGCGCCTGACAACCTTAATTTGTTACTCGCAGAGAAGTAAATTCGTACTTTTTTATAAAACTGATTTGAAACACAAATATACAGCCCACCTGATGATAAATGTGTAATGCAGTCCATTAAAACATGCAGCCAACGTTCAACAAAGATGTCTACATATATTTTGTTACCTCTGAGTTAAAATGGAATGCTTCAAAGCCTTAAATTACTAGTTCTGTATACTTATATGTGGTAGAGCCACGCTGCAGCTATATTATGGTTGTAGCACGAATGGGTCGCCTCGACCTGGGAATGACCACGCTCTCACAGAATACCAGCTAAAAGAAGCAGCTTAATACTTTCGTATGGTGAAAGTAGAGACCCAGAGACCCTTTTTTACTGGAAACGAGGCATTCCATCTTAGTCCTCAGGGGTGACAACACATCTGCGTTTTGATTCTTAATCGAAGATAAATGTAGATGTCTATATCCACTTATCATCAGATGCACTGTGTGCTCGTTAGTCACCCTTATTCTTTAAAAAAATTGCACAGATCGCGAAACATCCAGGTTAGTGTGGATGGTATCGTGATATTTCTTGCGATGTGCGTTAGTGTTACCTAACCAAAGGGACTCCTGGGCAAAGAAAGTTATGACTTTTTTTAGGTAGTAGGCTACCTGAAAAAATTATCAATAAAAAGTGTTCTACTGTTAGAGAATGTTCTGGAAAAGCACAACGTACCACATCGACGTGACGACACAGGCATGGCGCCGGCGCGTCGCAATATCTCCAGTTGGACGGGCGTGCACTGGACACATGTTATACCGAGGGCAACCCTCCTATTGTGTATCTCGTTGTAAGAGAACTGCTTGAGGAGCGTGTTGGAGATCTGAGCGAGGCAAAGCCGTTCCACGCCCTCAATAACGAGAGAAACTATTGGCACGCCGTAGAGAAGTACCGTGCCGACCTGTTGGAAAGGAACAAATATAATAACTATGTAAGCAATTTAATCTGTATATATTTTACTTTAATGTATTTTATTTAAACAGCTTTATTTATGTTTTGTGTATTAATATTCTGTCTGTATATTAATGGCTTAATTCTTCAATATAGGAATACGTAAGTACATAATGTATATCAAACATTATCATCAAAACTTTAAAAAAGCTTTTCATCTGACACCGTAATACGAAGAAAGGGTAATATTTTTGGCAGGCATGTATTTATATGACCGTTACTTCTAACCAATTGGATTTTACCTGATATTATTTCAATCGGTTTGTTATAATGAGGGCTAATAAATATATAGTATTATAAATAATCTTATATAAGATTATTTATAATTATTGTATAATAATAACAAATAATCTTCCGCTCACCAGATCTGGCCTATTGCCACCGAGGTGAAGTTTTTGTTACACTTTTCAGTTTTTTAACCACTCAAACGTCCAATCCGCGTAAGTGACTCTCGCTCCACCTGTGCGGGTATTTGTCGTTCGGGGACTGTAGTCCCAATGGACAGTTGACGCAAGATTTTTTTTGGGGACTACAGTCACCGTGGATGCTTGAGTGGTAAGTGTTATTAGTGTGTTGATACACACAAAACAATGTCTCAGTAGCTTGCCCTTTAATTTTTTGGACATTTTAACTCCTTTTTTATTTATTTTTTACTTTTATGAATATCCGTGGTTTGATTTATTTATTTTTAATCTAATTAATATAAAATATAATTAATAGTACAGAAAGAAACATTAACCTTTACATTTTTCGAACAAATTAACTTCCGCGTTACGAAATCTGTCAAATATACCATCTGAGCTTTAAGTAGCGCCGCCCGCGCGGATTATATACATTAAGAATAGACTTCAGCACGCTGTTAAAAACTTACAACGTAAAAACTTATACTAAACTACTATAACATACATGTAATATGGTATCACATGAAATGTTTTAAGTACTATACGTGGTAGAGCCGTGCTGCAGTTATATTAGTAGTATATTTGTGGCACGAATGGGACGCGCTCTCACAGAATACCAGCTTATAATAGTAAGTTAATGCTTCTGTGTTTCGTATGGCGAGTATAGGGAACCGGAGACCCTTTTTACTGGAAACGATGCATTCCATTTTAGTCATCACAGCTGACAACGCATATGCATTTGATTCGTAATCGAGGATATATGTAGATGTCTATGGGCCGCAGCAACCACTTACCATCAGGTGGACTGTGCGCTCGTTTGTCACCCTATCCGATAAAAAAAAGAATTTCCGATGGCATTTTGTGCGTACACATATCCTCTGTTTTCTCCTTGTTCACAAGATAATTCCGTACTAGTTCCATTACACTGTCATTTTACGCGAAATAAAACTTACTTGATTCGGTTTACTATTCAACTGTAACGCCTTATTCTCCGAACGGGATTTCAAGGACTCCCGGGGTGGAAGAGCTAAATTCGTGGCCTCCATACTATAACAAGCAAATAAAAATAAATTATATTAAATTCTCAAATAAGTAATCTATTAGTTTGTTCTTCTTTTAGCAATAACATTTAATTTTTAATTATTTCAATATCATAGTTTGCAAAAGTTCCTAGATAGATAGCTAACACTTTATTGTACGCCAAAAAAAGAAAAGATAAATATGAACATAACAGGAAAAAGACCAGATTAAGATAAGATCGCTCAGGTGGTACCGCTAAAAGCGATCCGGACATCCTTTGGATTGACAACACTGCACAAAGATAATAAAAACATGTGTGTAGGTAGTTTACAAAAATAACATTATTTTTATTTTAAACCATAAAATAGTAATAAAGATGCTTGATATAAAATGGTATATAAGTACATAGATAAGATAAATACATTCATACTTTTGAATATGTAACATATATTCAAAAGTATGAACAATTCTGTTACTGTACTAGTAACAGAATCGATCAAAAATTTGAGTATATACTTTTTTTTAAATTCCATTCTATCCATTTCTTAAAAATTACTAAAACGTTTTCTAATTGTCTTTTAGAGAAAGTTATAACAAGCAAAATATTATACGGGCGTTTCCTGTATTGTAGAGAATATTCTCTGAGGTCGTGGTTCGACGAACCACGACCTTAGAGAATACCGGCGTGAAGTGGAAGCTCAGCTTCCGCGTTTTGTCTGGTGACTGCATGTGGCCGGACCCTATTTCCCTCTACCCCCCACCCCATCAACATGGTAGCGGAATTTAATGTAAGACTACCCCAGGAGGGTATCAGTACACGTGGAGAAGCCCTCGCCGAGCATCCACGACCAAGCTACTCCACACCTAAGCGTGGGTGCTCAGGCAGCCCAGCGTTATCTGGAGGAGGAGGGAGGGGCAATATTCAGCTCAAGATAATAACTGCTCGGGACAAGCTTAGGAAAAGGACCAAGGCGACCCCAGCCACGCTATCCGTGAATTTCTGCAATATCTAAATGAATATAAATATGTAGCAAGAGTTAACAGTAAAAATTAAAATACATACTTAAGGCTTTTATATAGTTTTTTTTTTCACTTTACAAAGTAATCTTTTCGTAAGCTAGCACAATTAAATGCTCATCATTCTATGGCTAGGAACTAAATAGTCCAAACTGTAAAATATCCTACATTTTGGTGGTTTCAAGAAAACTATTCGATCACAGTCTTAATCTTATAAGCCATTAGACGGTAAATCAAAGTATAGTTTTCAAAGTGTAGTTCAGATATATGATAGAGCCCGACGAATATTTCTATATAAAGTTAATAGTATTTCTTTTTGCTATGCTATTATTAAACTTGGAATGTAAGAAACCATTTAGCAAATCACCGCCAATACGCCACGCACTCGGCCAACATTGTCAAATGTATCGAATCGCATAATAATTGAATAAAATAGGCAATTATTGCAAAGCTTCATTGACTTGTAGCAATAAATTCACAAAGTGAGAGAGAACAAAAGCGATCATTCGTATACAAATAGGCAAGTTGCGTGTGAATTTGGTATATCGAATATCAATTGGGTGAATTGAGGACGGAGGGTGTCGTAATGTATGGAGTGACGCCCTTCGTGTAGGGCTGGCAGGTAACGTTAAGTAAGTCGCTTGTTTATGTTGTTGTCGTAACAGGTAGTTTTGACCTAATTTCATACATACAATTTTTTTCATCCGCTCAAGTTACCGAAAATTGTAGGCTGATTCAAGTCTAGAAAATACACAAAGTTTGAGATAAACGCGTGATTTTAGAATAGAAACTAAAACTAATGAAACTTTCTTATTCTAATAGACTTAAACATTATTTAAATCATGTGTAATTAAGCAAGCATTTTTTTTTATTTTAAGCGACAAATTTTCAGATGTCTGCATGGCTTTTTTACAAGTTACGAATTCACGCAGATCAGGCTGATTTTGCAGATCTATAAATAATGCAAGATATGGATGCATAAATATTTGTTATACTTGGTAGAGCCATGCTGCAGCAATATTATGGTTGTAGCACGAATGGGTCGGCACGATCGGGGAAAGACCATGCTCTCACAGAATACCAACGTAAAATAGCAACTCTACTAGTACTACTACTAGACCCTTTTTACAGAAAACGAGGCATTCCATCTTAGTCCTCAGGGGTCCTCGCATCTCAATTTTGATTCCTAATCGAGGATAAATGTGGATGTCCATGGGCCACAGCATCCACTTAACATTAGGTGAATTGTGTGCTCGTTTGTCACCCTTATTCTATAAAATACAAAAGGTTTTATACTGTTACTATTAATAATGACACGGTTAAATTCTTATGTTAAGAATTTAACCGTTTAATTAGTAGTAGTAGTGGCGTTGTAAGAATATACCCCAGTCCCCATATTATCCCATGGATGTCGCAAGAGACAGCAGAGGGAAACTAAAGCGGAAGATGGACAGCAAAATTGTGATATAGTTATTCTACTTCACTATGAAGATTTCGCCTTGATTGTAGTAGTGACGTGTACTGACAGGCGCGTTCGTGTGTGTAACTGCGATTCGTTCGACTTGCGATACTGATTGTGCGTTACCGAGGCCTACGCACACTAACACAATGTATATGTGCACGGCTAACAACAACCAAAGTCAAACCTACATTTATGATAATGATATACTAAGTCAGCTCAAATTCTAATTTCGCCCCCCACTTCCCCGCGCATAGTAAGCTATGTACCGACATGTTTGTAATCACTAATACTGTAAGTAGATAGGTCGTTAGATACTTATTTCATTAGGTTTATCATATTTATGCCTGTTTCTTAACGCCAACCCAGTCGCTTCTTATTTTTATTACGGTTATTTCCCATTTTAGTTTTACGTCGTCCTGTTGCGTAATGTGTATTCTGATCGTAATCGACACAACTTCTCCCTTCAAAAGCCGAAGCGATACTAACACAGAAGATACTAACGGGGCGACAGGAATCAAGCTTCAAGACGCCGATAGTTTAGGTAATTTCTTTTTACAGAGAAAATAATGGTATTTATAAAAAAGTAAATAACATAAGTACTGCTTTATAGTTAGTTCAGTTAGTATGCAAAGTTTCATGATCTTATTTAAAGTAAGTATTTTATGAATAACAGCGGTTTATTGTTCAGTTCGGAGGTACCTTAGGATTTTTTTTCTATCGAGAAAATTTTACGGAATCGTGTTTTCGTCTAACATAGTACTTAACATTAATCCTCAACTTTACCATATATTTATTTCAAAATTAAGGCCGCAATATTTTCGGCATAACGGAGGATCTTGCTAAGCCATTTGAGGTTATATTTCCCCTTAACTGCCGAATAAAAATAAACAATTGCAGTTGCCATCCCGCTTGCTATGCGTAGCCACAATGCTAAATATCCCCCTATGAGGCATTCTAAGGGGAAGACCTATGTTCAGCAGAGAACTTTTAATAGGCTGTAATGGTAAAATGGTATTAATAATTAACAAATAATGTAATAAAATATTAACAGTTATACTAAATGTTATCTAGCTATATATGATAATCATTGTAGGACTTATAAGAAAATATCACTTCCATTTGTGACTTCAAGAGTAGAACATTTAAAGTATTTAAAACTAATAATATGTAGTGCCATTGTAAACTGATAATTCACCACTTCAAAAGTCATACCCCTAATACTTAGAAACAACATGGGGTAGCCGCTAAATCCATGGTGACATTCCGTGCAAATAAGTAGTAATGTTCCGTATAATAAGATAAAATATCGATAAGATTTTCGGCCGAATTAATTTGCTTAAAATTTTCTTGTAACAGAGGATCTTATAAACACATTTTTTTGAAATTCGCATGACTCAATCGACAGCACTATTATTGGAAAGGTGTTTGGTTAACAAATCTAAAGAGTTTTCATTGCATAATACATTATGGATTTTGAGGTGAAAATTATAACTACACGTAACTATTTAATTCAAACGAAACTTTCGTTATTTGCAGACATCTAAAACCACTATACCAGTCTGTCATTTTGTTTTATATTATAAATATTGAGTTGGGCTTTACATCATCCAGGTATTTCCAAATGAAACCATTATAATTAATTGTGTAGATAGTTTTACCACTTACAATACTAACTTAGTTTATACATGTTCCTTTTTATCTCCCTCCAGCATTAAGAACTCCAATGTACACTGTTTTGTTTAAAAAAATGAAGATTAATTAAGTTAATTGAAAATGTAGAAGAAAGAACGCTGTGTTTTTCTAGATTTCGACTCTGAAATTCATTTAATTGTGTATGAAATCGGTATATATCGATATGCTTCGAATACGTCACTATCGATCAGTTAGGGCGCGATCGGTCAAACCGACCCCAGACCCAACACTGGGGCGCGCCGTCAAATTGATTACGTTAAATGATGTAACATTATCGTAATGATTGCATATGTCACGTCTTTTAGGGTTGTCTAGCTCATTTGTCATTATATTGTGTATCTACTAACTAGGCCCGCGGGTTATAATTTTAGGAACTCACATAAACTAATTATCATGAACAAATAACATAACTAACCAGCCATATAGCTCGAAGAACTGACACTAATGGGGAAGTTCTCGAGTGGCTGACTTGTACCGGTAGACGATGTGTAGGACGTCCCTTCACTAGACGGAGTAACGACCTGGTAAGACATGCTAGAAGTCGATGAATACAGACCGTGCATGTCTCGTATTCCTTCTGGGAGACCTATGTTCAGCAATGGACATGTAAAAACCTGTAATGATGATGATGCCATTACTAAGCTCTTGAATAATATATTTCAATAAAACAAACAGATATTGACCATAGGTGCTGGAAAGCGCCCGAAACGTCGGGAATTAAAAATAAAAGTAAATAAAAAGTAAAAATAAACGCGATAAAATCCGTAAAAGTAGTTTTAATCATGTATAGTGTTCGCGTAAATATAAGAAATCATTATGTAAACAGATATTATCTAAAATTTGACAATCGACTGG